GTTTTGATTATTTTTTTTTTTTTTTTTTTTGACTGATCGGGTCAATCTGGATGTTCAGTTGTTTGATTTTGTGCATGTTGGTGGCCCATTGAGCAATCTGTTTTTCTAGCACCCCTCATACAGACTAGTTTTAATAATGTGTCTTTTTTCACACATACACGAGGTGATGTGTTTTCCATCCAGATATTGCTTTTGTGACTTGGTTTATTTCGTTTTGTTACCTCCTGCATGCAGTTTAAATAACGTCCATGTGTTGTGTGTAATCCTAGACAGTTCAGTGCTTGTGTAGGCAGTATTTGTGTCCCTCATGTGAATAGTAGCCAGCCTTAAAATGCCTGAATGTATCCCAGAGTGTGAGGATTTAGGTATTAAGAACTTCAAAGTTGCTGTCTCAGACAGACAAGATTGGTTCTTTCAAGTATAAGATAAGTTCTGGATTCAAACCGAACCAGCTGAGATGTCAAACCTTTAAGGATGTAAGGAGTTTTTATTTTTATTAATTTTTTTATCAGTTTAGATCTGAACACCATAGGATACTGTCAGGTGGTTGTGAGTCTTGTGTTGTGCTGGTGTATTTCTGCAGTGTTTTTATTTTCTTCAGTTTGTCTGTCACATTCCAGCTGTTTTGCATTTGTAACCAATAAGAAAGCTCGGAGATTGTTCTAAAACTAAAAAAATGAAAAGAACAAACAAAGAAACAAGATGTAGGCAGATATTATGAATGTTAAGTGTGTCGTCTTACACTTATGAATGCTGCTATGTGTTGTAATTTTCTACTTGAATATTTTATGTTGTAGAGACCTCAGAAGGTATGTTTACCTTTTATTTTTTTTCTTTGCTGTGTGTTTTTTAAGGTTTTTTATAGTTTTTTTATGAATGCCTTTCCCCACTGTTCAGGCTCCCATGTTTCATAATAATAATAATAATAATAATAGAGCAATTCACTGTAATCCATTCAGCTGCTAGTGAATATCCTTTCTAACGGGCATATTTTTGTCACTGTCTCCTCGTAAAAGAATGTAAAACTTTTTTTTTTTTTAATTAGAGGAGATATCCGTTAATGGACACTTAAATAGGATACTTCATGTGGGGATAAAATGGAAGTAACTGGCCCTTATGTATGTGAACATTCGTTATTTATGAAATATAAATGCAGTAAATACTGTACCGCCTTGAAGTTTTTCGGGGGTGGGGGTATAAATATGGCCACGAGACTTGGAGTAATGAATCTAATGGTTTTACTTTTTTAATTGTTTTGTCGTCTTTTCTTTTTGTGAAGTACAAAATGTAAAAATCTAAATGTTGTGTCCCCACCCCAGACTGCACCTGTATAGTTCTATGTGTGGAAATCAAGAAAATGTTATAATGGAGTCAAATTTTGCTCAAAAGCTCCCTTTTCTGGTCCGAGAGCAATTTAATTTATAGTGATTTTTCCACTTTTATTTGATAATCTGATTTTGAAGAAAGATTCAAATATAGAAAGTAATCATTTTTAGGGGCCACCAAATATTTTGGATCATGCAAAGAATATATATTGTACTGTAGAAATTTTGTAATGATATTTGTATGACATTGTTATGGACGTGAGTTTGTTTCACTGCTTGGATCTGTGCATTGATAAGAATAAACACTTTTCAAAAATCACTGATTACATTATTTGTCTAATGAATTTCAAAGGTATTAAATATGAAGGTATATTGACAACTTTGGAAATGCAGTCTGATTCAAATTGTGCAAGTTTTTATTTTTTATTTTGTTGTTAAGTGCAAAGTAATTTCTAATTATCCATTTGGATTATCTTTAAGATCAAATATGTACCTGCTACACAATTTATATGAAACCGCCACTGGCGTCACTGTTTCTTCATAATTCCCTCAATGAAATACTGAACAAGTGGAGGCGGGTTGAAAAGCAAGTGAGGAGGTGGAGTCGTGTTCAGAGGGAGGAAAACCCAGCAGAAGAGCAGGAAAAAAGAGAAAAACCACCAGACACAACAACGTCGGGGGGAGGACGGTGGATTAACTGTGACAACTGAGGCAATTCAAATAAAGAGAAGCGCCGCTGTGAAGAAGGGAGGACAGCAAGATGATTACGCCCTATTTCCTGGAAAATTTCTGGGTAGGTTGCTTATGCTGTGCTCTTATTTGGCTTTGCGGGTTAACGACAACTCCGCTCCACTCGAATGTCATTCTTTAAATTGGTATAATATGCTTGATTTCTGGGGCTATTCTTCATGTTTTGATTCACGCCGGCCGTTGCTGGGATAATACCGGTAAAACATGGTCGAGGCAAGCACGAGAGCCTACTGGCCTGTTGCCCCCCTCACTTTTCTCGGAGAATGCCGTCCAGCTAGACCGGGGATTGGGCCTCATTACATCCATCTGACACAGACAGCCAACTACGTTCCACCTCCGTTCAATCTGATTGGCTGTCGATCAACGTCTTGGAATGTTAATTCCTATTCTGCAACAACATTGGATGTCACGGCTGTCAATCACAATGCTATCCTGCTCTAATTCTCCCGTAATGACGTTAGACCGGAGGCCAGGATGTCTAATAAAGTTGTTTTTTATTGTTATATACACAGTATAACTAATATGTTAGCCATGCAATAATTACCCCCTTCTCTTCCATAGTATACCTTATGGTGATATTTTTAATTTTAATTACTTCGGTTATGGTTAGTACTGCCATGGCTTTACTATAGGCTTTATAATATTTTATAATACTTCATAGTGTGATTTCATTTTCATATTTGTTGTTACCTGAAAACATGCCACCTTATTAGACATATTTGCTTCTTAAAGAGATGCATCACCAAAAATTCTGCCATCACTTATTCACCCTCATCATGTCGTTCCAACCTGTGTGACTTTATTTTAATACAACGCAACAAGGGATGTTAAAGGTATAGTCAGCCAAAACGTATTATTCTTTCATAATTTACTCACCCTCATGTCATTCCAAAGCTGTATGACTTTGCTGTGGCATATACTTGAAGATATTTTTTAGAATGTTTTTGTCCATCCATGTCAAGGAACACCAGAATGGTTTGGTTACCAGCATTCTTCAAAATGTCTTCTTTTGTGTTCAGCAGAAGAAAGAGAGAGTGAGTAACATGAGTGTGAGTAAATGATGATGGAATTTTCATTTTCAAGTGCATTATCACTTTAAGTAGAATGAAGGCGTATGTTTTCAGGTGTGATCATGCACAGTATATCTTTATAATCTCTTACATTCCAGACATCAATATTCAAGTCAGTTTTCAAATAATGGCTATTTCCCCATTGTACAATAAAAGTTATTGAGGATATCTGCAGTCATTGCAGAACAGATAAAGCCTGACACAGTTTTAAAGCATCCCGGAAGATTCCTCTGTTGTCATGTACCGTAAATGGCCATGGTTTAACCATTAACAGCATCTGACTGGCAGAAGTGTTGAGCTGAGCAGGGTGAGAAAGTGTGCATTTGGAAACCGTGACTGTCAAAACAAAACATGAAGAGAGATGAGGGATTGCAGAGCTGTGGAGTCCTGTTCTCAATCAGGTCTTTGTGTTGAGGGCTCAGTGAAACAGGGACGCCTATGATCAGCTGTGTGCTTGTAATGCAGGGCACAGACATAGACACATATACCCCACACACAGAGAACCACACTTCTTCACTGCACTGAAACTGTCAAGCTCACAAAATTAATGCAGGGAAGGTCAGACTGTCAAAATAGTCTTGATATTTTTCTGCCATGACATCATCATGTCTTAAAATCAATCTTCGCTGCCCTCCAGAGCCTGACGCCCACAGGTGTGACAACTTACCCTGAACCTCCCACAACAAAGGGGTGTTTGAAGGAAACCTCTCAGTCTTGTTTACCGCAGTCAAACACATCTAACCGCAGATTTCCTCTCTTGCTGTAGAGCACAGTGTGATTTTTCTAGTGAGCTTTTGACCTTTGCTGAGATCTCACATTCTCCTCTGTTGGTTTTGTTGGTGGAAGTTTAGACTTGTTACAGTCAGAAGACACCTGCTTACGGAAATGTGTATCTGGTTGAGTCATACAGCAGATATTCCCTTTAGTTTCTAGTTGTCTAGGTCTTGATGGGAACTATTTTTTTTTTTTAATGTATTGTTATGTTAGTCATTTGTAGAGTGTAAAATGTGAGAACACTTATTGATCATATTCACGTGCACGTCTTTTTCTGATTACATTTAAAAAAATGTTTTACATGCTTCTTGAATATTTCTGCTGGGTATTCCTGTATCCATTTAATCAACATAATCTGAATACACAAAAATATGCATTTTTCATGCTATTCTTACTAGGAAATACTAGGGATGTTTGTTCGCGCCATAGTCAAACTCAAGTCAAGTCAAGTCAAACTTTATTTATAGAGCACAACTTTAACACAACCATTGTTCTGTGGATATTCTCCAAAATGGCGCTACAGTGATTCAGAGAGACACAGAGGAGACTAATTGTTGAATAAAGTCGTTATTTTTGTTTTCTTCGCGTACAAAAAGTATTCTCGTCGTTTCAGAAAATTCAGATTGAACCACTGATGGCAGATGGACTATTCGGTCCAATTTGTTCAGTCCAATTCATTCAGATTGACTATTCAGTCTATCGGACAGTCACAGACAACATTTTCATTTTGGGGTGGAGAATCCCTTTAACCATCCAAGTTCTCACTTCGTCAAAACATGAGAAAAGAAGTTGTGAAGAGTCATTTTCAAGTTTGATTGGAAGGTAAAGTTGGAGGTCATCGGCGTAGCAATGATAGTTAATATTATATTTCTGGAGAATGGAGCCTAGGGGAAGCATGTAGAGCGAGAACAATAAAAGGCCAAGAATAGAACCCTGAGGAACACCATAAGGGATGGGCGCAGAAGGTGAGGTGAACGACCCGATATTTACTGAAAAAGTCCTACCCTTTAAATAAGAGGTGAACCACTGTAATGCCGTGCCTTGAACCCCTACTACACATTTGAGCCGATTCAAGAGGATG